GGGAGGGCTGTGCCCCAAATTCACAAGGTGTTTCTATCGCCCTATTTATTGGCTCCTTATGAAGTAGACAGGATGGTGCCCATCACTGACAATTGCAATTTCACAGATAAGAGAAATGATCTCAGAGAGGTCTTGGTCCCATGCACTTGGTGCAGCCAGGCCAGGCCAGCCAGACCAAGGACCCAGGTCTCGGGGGTAGGACCTTCCCAGCAGAGCAAAGGCCTTCCTTTCTCTCATGAAATGATTGTTTTTTGCCGTTTCTTTGGAAGGTGACCGAATAGCCAATTAATAGGCTTTTCTTCTTTCTGGCCAGGGCAGAGCCCTCTCTCAGTCTGGAGAATTCTCCAGACAGCAGCAGGGAGAGACCTCTAATCCCTGCCCCCCTCCTGGAGCCCCACAGAGCCTCAGTTAGGATCTCACATCCCCATAATTCCCTCCCTTTCTGTACTTTGGCATTTGTTTTGTTTCCTTCTAGTTTCCTAGTAAAGGTTTCTTTTGAAATGCTTCAACTCGGTCTCCCCTGAGTAGAAGGGAGGGGTGTTTCCAGTCCTGGGCAGCTGGGACTGGGAGGACTTCTCAGGGGTGTGGCTGAGGGCCCCAGCCAGCCCGGAGGGGCAGGAGACGCTGGAGCTGCACTTCAGGGGGAAAGACTCAGAAACAGCTGTCACCCTGACTGCCTTGGTGATCTGCACTTGGCTGTGGACTCGGGAGGAATGAGAGATGAAAGCGCAGGGTGGCCATTCTCCAGCTATAATGTGTACACAACTCACCCGGGATCTTGTTAAAGGGCAGGTTCTCGAGAGGGGGGTGAGACCAAGATCCTGCATTTCTAATCAGCTCCCAGCTGAGGCCAATGTCTTCTGTCCAGGGTCTTCATTGTATACGGAACAGAGGGGACCACAGCCCAACCCCACTCCTGTCTCCTAGAGTCATGCTCTCCCCGCTACGAACTCCCTGCCTTCTATGCACCTGGTCCTGCACACACATCCTCCTGCATGGGGTAATTAATTGTTCCTACCAACCTGTGAGCTGTGGACTGTGTCCTATTCGTCTTTGGAATCTGGCACAGAGCCTGACCAACATCCACAAAATGAAGGAGTGACTCTCAAAAAGACTGCCAGATCCCCAAGATGAACCTCAGCTGAGAAGCCCCAACCCCAGCCCCCAGAGCAATGACAGGGAGACACTTAGGGCCACTCCAGACCTTCTGTGTCTGTGGCTTCCCATCCAAGTTCTAACCTTGAGTTCCCTGAAGAAGAGGCCCCAGCAGGCTGGAAAGAAGGTTGCAGTGGAAGGAGGTCTCTGAGGGTGAAGCAGGAAGAGGGATGGCATGTCCCTTATGGGTGAACTACTTAGGCCCAGAAAAGCCATCAGGATGGGCAGAATCATCTTTGGTTCTTGCTCCAGCATCCTGTGTGATTCTGAGCAGAACCCTGCTCCTTCCTGCTCTGGAGCGAATCAGGCTGAGTGACAGAGACCTAGGCAGCTTGTATCTTCTAGGTCCCTAAAGTTCCAGGTAGGGAAAGGGCATGAGATTTGTAGGTAAAGGAGTGGCTCTAAGCATTTCAAGTAACTGTGGGCATGTGTTTTCCTCTCGTTGAGCCTCAGTTTCCTAATCTGGTAAATGGGAATGATTCTATGGGACTTAGGTGAGGGCCTGGTAATGAGTGAGCTAAGACATCAAGCAACATTCTCCCTGTTTCTGAGCAGTCCACCCCTCTCTTTGGTGGCACACTATGGTCTTGACCTGCCTGGGTCAAAATTCTGCCCACCCACCCCTGTGGATGCCAGCACTCCCTCCTCCTCCCTCCTGCCTTGTGCTGAGCCGGTGCCCAGGATGGGGACCATCGCACACCCTCGAGCCTGTCTCCACACATGAATACACTCAAAAGAGCCAGCCAAGAGCAGATCCTTTATTCATTTCTCTTTTTTCTTAAAAAAAAAAAAAGTATTCCTTCGGTATAAAAAATAAATATTTTAAATATGACATTGAATAAATAAAAATAATCTGTCAGTATGAAACATCCCCACAGGGTACATTCATCAAAGAGGAATTTGTCATCCAAGGCCAAGTCCTTTTCAACGAAAAGGCAAGAGGGAAACTTCTAAGGCCACATGGTGGGCCCACTGAGCCAGCACGTGGACCCTGATGGGGTGGGGAAATGGAGATGCTTCTAGCGTAGGAACATCTGTACCATCTGAAGAGAAGTTGCTACCCTGCTAGATTCCAGGGCTCCAACTCACTATGCTGTGTATACTCTGGTGAGCCAGCTATGCAGAGCTGGGTTACTTGAGTCAGGGTGGATGTCCCCCAGCCAGGAACAAAGAGGAAGACAAGGAGGACAGGGAGGAGAGACAAGTAAACTAGCAGTGCTTTTCTGTTTACATTTTTAAATAATAAATAAGGGCCCCAATAGTTGTCTCTTGATAAATTACAAAGTAACTGTCTTGCCCTCTCCTCTGCCAGTGGTCCCTCCCTCTTCCTCTGTCCCAGGGACGGTGTGGCCAACAAGAACAGATGAAAAAAGAACAGAAGTACAGCTCCCCAGCCCAAAAAGTTGTTTCACACAAAGGGTCCCTGATCCAGTGATGCTGCGCAGCCTGGATGCTGACAGCCAGTGCTGAGGACGGTGCCAAGGGGCTGAGTCCTGGTTGAGTCCAGGCTGAGCAGGAGGGCATCACGGACCCAGCAGCTGTGGACAGTGAGAAGGAGATGCTCTGCTTCCTGAGCCCTCAGAGGCTGCTAGGTGGGCCCCACACAGCATCTGCATCTGTGGGGTGGCATGGTGACAGGAGGGCCAGTAACCCCCAGCCATGGGAACAGTGATTCTGGTTTTTAGATACATATATCTTTCTCAAGACCCAGCTTGGGGAAGCGTCGCTAACTCCATGCCAAGCCCAAAGGAGCAGAGGGTTGGAAGGACAGCCTCTGAGACCCCGGACAAGGGTGAAGTGACCCATGTTTAAACAGTCACATCTTAGTCTTGCTGCCAGGATGGACCATCCTCTCCCTTCCACCTCCCCCACACTGGTCTCAGGGCCTGCCCACCCGCCATCCAGGTAAAGTGCTTAGAGAATGAGAGAGAAAGGTGCAAAGTGAGTGTAAAGTACCGTAATTAGTACCATAATCTTGAACTTGGAGGACTGCCCCACTCAGGCCCAGACCGCTCACTCTGAGCAGCAGCCATCCCTCCCCTCTCTCAGACTAGAGGGCGTTTTTTCTACTTGCCTGGCCCCAGCACAAAGGAAGGGATCGAGTTCCCTGCCTGGGATCCCAGACATGGGTGGGAGTGGGAAGGAGGTGGAGAAGGAGGGACCACAGCTTCCTGGTCTGGATCCCAGGCGTCTCAGGCCTTGCTTTCCTCCTCTCCAGAGCAGGGGACAGCTGTTCCCTCACCACTGCCCAACTTCCCAGGGTCCAGTCAGGCCCTTGCACCCTCGGTGGGTGTTTGGACCACCTGAGGCGCTTCCCTGCCATGTGGGAGCATGCTGGGTGCAAGGGATTGTTCTAGGGCCCCTCAACTGCTAGTTCAGAGGTAGGGTGGGGGCAAGGGAACAGCAACAGGGTGAGCCGCTAAGATCGCCTTGTCTGCTGCTCAGAGAATGATGCTCCTTGCTACACAATGCCAGTGGGACACCAGCCCTCTGGAGCCAAGAAAAGCAAGCACCTGGCCACTCTGCAAACTAGCCCAGCCCCTGCAGCCGGGACCCTGACTCCCCTAAAGCGAGTCACAGTGGGACTGGGGGTACATAGCCAGGCCTCCTGTCCCCACCTGGACCTTGAGTTCTCTCAGATCCTGACACTCCTCTGAGCTTCACCACATTCCACTTGTAACATCATCAACTTCCAGGCCAGGCCTGCTAAGCCCTAGCCCTGGCTCCTGTGTAAAGGATCTGGCATAATATTTTTGTTGAGTAGGGAGCCAGGAAGAGGAATTAACTTTGCCATTGAAAGCACCAATAAGTTAATATAAATAGGATATCATAATAAATAGAAATTAAGCTGGATCACACACACAGCATTTTTGGACCCCAGACTTCCCTGAGATCCTGAGCTCAAGTGCTGCTGCCCCTTGCACTAGGGACCAGAGATGGCCTCTGGTCTCCCTCAAGTACCTTTATGTGACCTCACAGAGCCTCTATGAGCCTTGGATATAAACTGCTCCTCTGAGCCCTCCAGTCCTTCCCCTAAAGATCCTGCCCAGGAGGAAGACTCTGGGTGTCCCCAGAACCTCCTCAACTGACTTTACAACCTGCCCCTGCCCTGCCCACCTGCATAAACCCCACCTCTGGGTGACCACCAGACCCTGGCTGTCCCAGGCTGCAGGGAAGACAGCAGGGATGAGGAAGATGAGCCCATCAAACCTTCTAGAGTCTCTCCTTCATCCCAAACTTGAAAGTGACTTTTCTGCCTCCCAAAAATCCTGCATGCCACCTAACCTTCCAGTTAGGTGGAAGGTCCTTCTAGAACCTTCCACCTAACAGTCCCTAGGCCTGAACTTGAAAGAAGACAGCATTCCACCCCAGAGGCTCTTTCTGTCTTCCACTTAGCAAACTTCTGGAGGATAAGAAGTCCTCTGGGATCCTAGTCCCTCTGGCCCACCCCAGTGCCCACCAAGACTTCCAAAGTCTACCTAAAGGGCAGCAAAGGCATGACAATGGTCATTTGCTGGGGGCTGCTGTCACGCCCTGTTATGCCTGCTATAGATAACTTGTGCAGTTTGCTCACTGCACAAAGTAAGCAGGGGGCCAAGAAGACAAGAGGGGGCAGAAGTCCAGCCCCTACCCTCCTTGCCAGTCTGACACCCTGGTTGCCATCTCCCAGAGGAAGGGGCGCCTTCTTGGAGTTGGTGCTGAATATAGGCCCTACCTATGGAAGTTTCAACTCTGCTCGGTTTCATCACAGCCCACCCAGAGTGGAATGGGCCAGCCAGGAACCCCTTGGGGTCTGCCAGCAACCCCCATTTTGGTCTAGCATTGCCCTTGGGCCCTGGCCAACTTTTGAGAGCCCCCCACATCTGGATCCCGCTCCCGAAATCCCTTGGTTCACGGCATATTTCAAGACATCCCGCTTAGAAGGCCTGGGCCACCACTGCGATGACCTGCTTGTACTTCCCTAGCAGCTGACAGCCCAGCTTCTTCTTCTGGAAGACGTCCTTGCCTGAGGTGTCAGGGCCATAGGTCACATCCACATGGGCCACGTGGTACTTGCTGCATAGGCGGCACTGCACATTGCTGAGGAGGCCCCGCATGACATCCGCAGTGGCGTTGAGCTTGCTGTGGAGGCTGAGGGCATTGGGATTAAGTATCTTCTGGTCCCGGGTGATGTTGCCCAGGGAGGAGCCCATGTATGCGATGATTCGATATAACTCCACCAGCTTGGCCTTCTCTGTGCCATTAGGGTGGAAGGGCGGGAAGTCTGTCACATTGGGACCACACAACTTGTCCAAGTTGTTGGGGAACGGCTCCCCCTGGGCTGTGTACTGAGGAGCAGAGGTGCAGAAGAGAAGTCAGGGATCAGGGTTCTAACCCTGCCACCAAGATTCTGTACTTGTACTAGGGCCTCAGTTTCCCCACCTGTGACACGGGGACCCAATTCCTTGCCCTGTAGGCATCTAGAATAGTCATCAGAGCCAGAAATAATTCTAGTGTGAGTGCCCTTGCTGAAGAGCAAGGCCTGGACCATGCAAGTGGTCATCATTATCACTATCATGACCATAGGGGACAGAGAAGAAAACAGCACCTCACTCCATGTGGTGCACCACACACATGCTGGCTTCCGCTGGCTTTGTCCCACTTTTCCTAGGGGTTCCTTCATGCCCAAAACTCACAGCACACTGTCTACACAGTGCTGTGAGATCCCTGCCTGCCTCCACCTGCCTGTGGTCAGTTCCTTGCTCTCCTGAAAGACTAGAAGTGCTGGGACCCCCTTTGCACCTCAGCTCAGCCCTCACTGACAGGGCACTTCAGAAAACATAAGGAAGAGGTCCTGGAAGTCGGATATGGTTCAACCAAGTCCCCTCCCCACTCTCTGCTTCTAACTCCAAAAGGGTCCCTCAGCCCAGGTAATTGGCTGACATTGGTAAGCCCCCTCTGTGTACCCTCCTCCGTGTCCCCGGGGTAACTCACATAGAGAATGAAGAGGGCGTTGGCACTGCTGTTGAGCTGTGCCAGTTGATTCCTGATCTGGTTCATGAGGTTGCTGTGACATGGGTGGCGTGTGGTGCAGGTGGTGTTGACGGGGGTGATGGGGAGGGGGCTCCCTGCCCCGTGTTTCCAGTGCAGAATCAGCAGCAGGGGCACAACTCCTGGGGACAGGCAGGAAGGATCCATGAGTGGAAAGGTAAGAAAAGGCACACCAGGTTGGACAGGCCACTCAAGTGAGAGGACACATATCCCTCTCACTACCTGTAGCTGTCTTCCCTGGACCCTGTTTTCCCTCCATGGAACTCTGTCTCCCTCTCTCTACCTTCCTGTCCCTCCTTGCTCTCTTTTTTGGGGGCGGAGGGTATGACAGAGACTCACTCTGTCACCCAGGCTAGAGTGCTGTGGCCTCAGCCCAGCTCAGAGCAACCTCAAACTCCTGGGCTCAAGTGATCCTCCTCCCTCAGCCTCCCCAGTAGCTGGGACTACAGGTGCCCGCCACAATGCCTGGCTAATTTTTCTATTTTTAGTAGAGATGGAGGTCTTGCTCTTACTCAGGCTGGTCTGAGCTCCCAAGGATCAAGGGATCCTCCTGCCTCAGCCCCCCCAGAGTACTAGCATTTCAGGTGTGAGCCATTGTACCTGGTCACCCTGCTCTCTTCTAGGATGAAGGAACAAGGGGCAGGAAGGACATCAGCTGTTCCCATCAGTGGGAAGCTGGGGAGGGTGGACAGGTGGATCCCAACTTCCCAGACTTTCTCTCAGGAAGGCAAATGCTCCAAGGTCTCCTGGCCTCTCTCCTTGGGTCCAGTAGGTGCAGAAGAAAAGAGGCTCCCCTTTCTACCTCCCAGAATGGGCTGGATTCTTAAGCACGGCTTCCTGCCCACTGGCTCACTGAAGCCTAAGTCTCCCAAACAAGGTGTCCATGGGCTCACTGGGCCAGCTTCCCCTTCATTCTGCCACCCACCCTCCATTTGCCCTTCTCCAATGTGGCCACTCCCACCACGTAGGACCCTCAACTTCATCCCTATTCTGCAGGTCTGTCCCCACTCTCCACCCCAAACTGTCATTCAAAACTTTCTGCCACCTCAGCTCTGGGCAGCCCCAGACTACATGCTCATCCCTCTTGTTTATAGTTCCCTGGCCCCAGGCCCCTGGGTTAGAGATCCAGGGGTCCCACATGCCACCCCCTCACCCAGCCTTGGAGAGGAAGAGGAAATGGTGCAGGAGGAAAGACAAAGGGGAAAAGGTCACACCACCCGCAGCCAGGTGGGCGGGGAGGAAGGAAAGTGAAAGGTGACAGGGAGCTGGGAGCTGCATGGGCCTGTCTGGGCTCATTCCTCCCTCCAGGGTGACTAGGGGAGATGCGGGTGGGGGGCGGTGCCTCCCCCTCATCCAGGCTCCCTCAGACCAGCTTTTCCAGGGCTAAGCTGAATGCACCTGAGGGTGGTAGGGACTGGGGGCAGTGACCCTTAAGGCTGGAGATCTCTAGCCAAGATCCCTGTGCTGGGACAGGACGGCTGGTGGCAGCCGCAAGTCACTTCTTCTGGGTCCCCTGTTCATCTCAGCATCCTCAGGCACTGCTCAGCCTGGGAGGTGGCTAGGGGACCCCCCCCATGCCCCCATCTCACCTAGCGCAGACCGCACACTATCCAGGCACGAGCAGACAGACGTGGCACCTGCTCCAGTCCCAGGCCGGAGTTTGCAAGCTGCTCAGATGGCGCACCCCTCCCAGGGAGCAGCCCAGGACGCAGTTGGAAAAGAGAAAGAAAAAAGAAAGAAAGAAAAAGAAAGACGCAGGATGAATCCAGGAGAAAGCAGAGAGGGAAGAGCAGCACAGGAGAGTGGCAGGAGGGAGAAGGAAGAGGAGAAAGAGGAAGGCTGCAGCTACCCCCTCCCTCGCTGCCAACCTGCTGGCCAAGCGGGCGCGCGGTGCCCGAGACCATGTGGCTGCGCTCGCTCCCGGCCGCCACCCAGCGCCTCCGGCGGCCCGGGCGCTGCGCGGGCGCCCCAAGCGTCTGTGTGTCTGCAGCGGGTGGGTGTCCCGATCGCACTGGCCAAGTGCCCCAAGGTGCCGCCACCTCCCGCTGCGGGGACGCGGAAGCCGGTGCGGGGCGGGTGGATTTACCTGCCGCCAAGACCTTCATTATGGGCTGGACTCCAGAGGGCCTTGGAGGAAACCTCGGATGCCGGCAGTTTTCAGAGGTTCATGCTCAAATGGGGAATTTGCCTGATTTATATACTGGAGCCTGTGTTGTAAGAAAAGAGTACAGCTATATTTAGCCGGGATCCCCAGTGCAGGAAGTTGTTTGAGGTGCAGCATCATAGGAAATTATGAATGAAAGAAAGTGAGAGTGAAGGGGGAGGGGGGATGAGTGCGAGGGGGAGGGTGGGGAGAGCAGACTTTTTCCCTCTTCTAAGAATCTGATTGATAAAATTATAATGAAGCCTTCGACAAAATGCCCTGCGGTTTTCCTGAGTGGCTTGCCCTGGGACTGTTTAAAGATGGACATGTCAGGGCGAGGGGGCCCAAGTCCGAGTCAGCGGGGTCCCCAGCAGTGGTCACCCCAGACGGCCCTGACTCACCTGGGTTTGGGGAGTGATGAGACACTGGACAAGCAGATGGAAGCTGGCACCTGTGGCCCCTTGGTTGGGGGGCTTTGGGGGTCAGTGGGAGCAGGCAGGCTGGGGCTTGGCTGAGAAGGAGGCTCCAGGAAGAGGGGCTGGGGCCAGGCTTGGACTTTAGACAGTAATAAAGCAGAACTGTACATGGGCGCTGGACGCCACCCCAGAGGTAGCTTAGTCCAACCTGCCCATTGCACTGGGCAGAGGGGCTCCAAGGAAAACGCATTGCCCAGAGCCCCAGAGGGTTAGGCCTCTAGAGCACCATCAGTGTGCCTGCTCTGCTGACCACTGCTGCCTGGGCTAGGAAGATGTGGGGTGAGGGTGGGGTAGCTGTGACTTGGTTCTTTGAGGACAGTTTGCAAGGGAATTTTTAAAAAGGTGGTCCAGCATTTCCATTCTGAAAGGGACACCCAAAGCGGAGACTGGGGGAGGCTTGGCAAAATCAGACACTGTTTTCCTCTGTGGGATGCTGGGGCGTGGCTAAGAGAACTAAAAATTGTTCAGTCCCTCCCAGACCTGCCTTGGAAGCCCCTTGGAGCTCAGCCTTAGAGAATGATGGCAGCCCCCAACAGGTGCTTCTGAAGTCACAATTTCCAGTGTCTGCCACTGCCAGGCAGATTCCAGAATGAGGAGGATAGGCAGCAAGGAGTGGTGGGGAGCAGGGAAAAGTGGGTGCAGCCGCTCCTCCTCTGTGAAAGGCAATGAAAAGTAAAACCAAAAAAACTCCATGAGGTGAAGGAGTGCTGGCCACACAACATGACTTACATCTGGGGCCATGCTGCTGCCTAGCCCCCCTCCCACCGTGTACCAGAAGATGTCTCATTCCACTCCCACCTGACCCTGACCTAAGGTCAAGGTAGAAGAGTTAGTTTTCCAAGGCCAGGGAGCTCCTGCAACCTTGCTTGACTCTGCCCCTATGGCCTCCTCGGCCACCCTCCATGCCCTGGCTCCTACCTCTTGCCACATCCCAGACCTGCTCAGCCACTCGCTCCTCCCTCATCGTGCCAGGACGAGCCCTTGTGCCCTTGAGCCCTAGGAGCCCTCATGCCTGCTGCCACCCCCCCCCCCCCCCCACCCCCGCCACACACACACATCCTGTCCTATCCAGGCTCTTGCTCCTTCATGCTTTCCCTGAAGGGCCCCCACAACGCCGTGATAAGAATGGCACTTCCCAGCAGGAAAGAGGCCAGTAGAGATCTCATGCCTGCTGCCACCCCCCCACCCCCCCCACCCCCGCCACACACACACATCCTGTCCTATCCAGGCTCTTGCTCCTTCATGCTTTCCCTGAAGGGCCCCAGATGTGGGGTGATAAGAATGGCACTTCCCAGCAGGAAAGAGGCCAGTAGAGCTTTCCTGTTTCCTGCTTCCCTGCATCTTGTCTCTTCTTTGGGGGGCCGTGGAGGGTCCACCTGACACTGCTCCCATACACCTGCACCAGAGTCAGCATGCACCCCCAGGAAGCCCACCCACCTTGGCCTAGCTCAGGACATTGCAGCTCACCTACCCTTTTCTCCCCTTCCCCCAGCATCTCCATTACATGGGCTCTGGATCAGTTCCACCTCCACACTGCCCAGACCCTGTCACCTGACTAGGCCTGACCTGGACCCTAAATCCACGTGACTGGAGCCCCACTGTGGCCCCTTAAATCCACATGACCAAGGGCGCACTATGAACCCTTAATTAATTCCACACTGTGGCCCCATCCATGAGACTCCTGTCCCCCTCTGCACCATCCTTCTGAGTGCACTTCCAGACCTGGCACCACCTTCTACCTCCCTAGCCCACATCAGCCATATAATCCACCCCCAATCTCCATTTAATCTCAGCCCCACCCCACAGCAAACAGGAAGTGAGGACAGGATCCAGAAGACACTGACACTAGGGCCACTTAACCCCATCCCTGACCAGCCCCACCCATGCCTCAGTTTCCCCTCTCACGGTACCTGACTTGGCTCGTGCTCCCCAAGTGCTCTAGGCCCCTTGGCACCCCAGGCCCAGCCTCCCCCTCCTATCCATGCCCAGGCATCACCTGTGCCAGGCCTTGGGGAGGGAGGCAAGGCAGGGTCTCTGAACTGCAAGCCTATGAGCTGCTTGAAACGTGGCTGCGGCCCCCCAGGAACCAGCCGCCCAGGCTGTGCTCCAGGCCAGCTTTGGTCTCTGGGAGTTTGTTTCCTTCCCTCCCTCTCTATGCTGCTCTGGGTGTGTGTGTGTGTGTCCCCCCAGCTCTCTCACAGAAGGCATCCTCCCTTCTTGGCTGCCTGCTCCCAGGGTCATAACCCCAGGCCCCACCCTGGAGTGGCAGCCCCAGCCCAGCCCCTTCCAGCTGTGACTTCATCCTCAGCATATCCCAGGCTTCTGCAGACTGGGCCTGCTGGGAGTTTGACCAGCATCAAGGAGAGGAAGGACAGTTAAGGCCCACATAGGCCCTCTGTCAGGCTGGGCAGGGGCTGCCAGGCAAGGGCCCAGGGGTGCTGTCTCTGAACACTCATTCATTTCCTCTCTCTGGGAAGTGAGCATGTAGCCTAGTCCTGGGACTTTGCAGGGCCCCGCAGTGGTCTCTCTCGTGCACACTGGCACTGGCCCATGTGGCTACCAGCCCCTCTTTTCCTGCTGATTTTGATCCTGCCATCCACAAGTCTCTTCTAGTTATCACAGCTACTTATTTTTCAGATGGGAAAACTGAGGCTCAAAGAGGTGAAGGGCTTGCCCAGGGTCACACACAGAACTAACAGTAGAGCCAAGTCTGGAGCCCAGGCCTCTGGCTTGCAGGGCACAGTGATCCCCAAAGCTTATGCAGGGACACATAGGCTGGCTTCTTCTAGGAAGCCTCCCCTGCCTCCCACTAGCTCCTGTCTGCCCTGTCCTGCCTGCTATTGTTTCAAGTGAGGACAAGTTTTATTCCTCGATCTTTGAGGTATTGGATGGAGTCTGAGATCGATTTGTACTCTTGACAGCACCTGGCTCAGAGTTATACCCAGAGTCCATGCTAAGTATTTTATTAAAACACTTTATAATTTCCAAACTTGTCTGTGCCAAATCTCTCATGGAGAGGAGATAGGGAGGTCTGGTGGTTGGAAGTATGCACTTGGCCTCATTCAAAGACAGGTTGGAGCTTTTTGGCTCTGCTATTTAGGAGTTGGATGCCTTTGCGCGAGTTGGCACTTCCTGGCCTCAATCTCTTCATCTGTGAAATGGGAATCATGTTACCTATGTATCAAGTTTGCTGTGAGGCTTAGGGCTCAGCACGACTCTGAGCTCCCAGTGAACCTTCTTTCTCCATGTCAGCACTGATGGTGTGGGCTTCCCTGTGAAGTAGGGGTTCTTGTTCCCATTTGACAGATGAGGACACTTGGGCACACTCCAGAGCTGAGAGCAGAAGAGCAGAACAAGGGAAGGACCTCTTAATCCCTTCAGCCTCAGGGGCACCCTCAGAAAGATCAGACAGGGTGAGGGGGGTTGCCATGGCAGTGTGCTCACTGTCCCAAGGCCCCTCACCACCCCCATCCCAGGCCTGAGCTGAGCACAGCAGCTGACCCGGCCTCACCGCCCCCAGAAGCTGATTCACCCCCAGGCCCCATCTGAGAAGGAAGGAGACACAGCTCTGCTCAGAGGGGCTTGAATCACCAGACGCCCCCTGCAGAGCCCCAGGGGGGATGAGGGGGCGGGAGCCAGCCCCCTGCCTGTCTGTCTGTCTCTTTCCTGGGCCCTGGGGCACTCAGGAGAGAGGGCCCCATGGCAGTGGCCATTGGCAGGGGTTGGGGGAGGTCCCCTTACAGTCAGGCATCCTGTGTGGGCAGCCAGCAGCAGTTACTCACCAGGTAAGCAGCTCTCTGGGCATCGGGGAATTCCCCAAGACCAATGACCCAGAAACTGAGCACTCCTGGGCACCCCCCCCTTACTGCCCAGACCAGGCCCCTCTTCCTGCACCACCCTTTCCCTGTCCCAAGCTAGAAACTCAGTTCTGTGAAAACCCCACTAGCAACAGCTCTCAGCCCCTTGCTTTGTGGCTCCCACCTGGGAAATGAGCACAATCAGATGGGCCTGGGTAGGGGACTGGGGCCCAGAAAGTAGGTCCCGAGCCCAGGACTAGTGAGGGTGCCAAAGGAGACAGACACAGCCCAAGCAAACTGAATGTCTTGTCCTTGAAGGCAAAAACACCTCGAAACCCTTGAGAGTTTGCAAGTCAACTTTGGGCCATATGAGGTTAGATTAGCGGTAGCACTAGGAGAATAAGGGCATAGGCCTGAGAGCCAGGCAGACTGGGTTCCAATCTGCCCATATCACAGACCGGCTCTGTGGTCTGGGGCAGTTCACTTTCTCCCTCTGAGCCTTGATTTCACCTCTGAAAACGGGAATCTGTAACAGCAGCCTCATGAGGCTGTCCTGGGATGGGAAGTGAAAAATGGAGATAAAATACAGATAAAGTGCTCCACACATGACAGCCGCTCTGGTAAGAGTCCTGTGTGACCACAGAAGGGGCTCCAACACCAGCCCGAGTCTGGCAGTCAGTGTGCTGTGGTGTCAGAGTAAGGTCGGAGCCAGGAGGGTGGGAGGGTAGGGGGGAAGTTCAGTGGTCTTCAGGGGAGCTTCAGGAGTGGAATGAGTGGTACTTCCCCCACCTCA